TCAGCCCTACGTATGAAGGACAAAAACACCCAACCCATTCTTCCTTGACAACTATACAGGGATACTTACATGTTCTTCCCCTTTCCCTGCCCCCCTCGTCTCAAAGGTTCCAAAGCGACCGAAAGACTCGCGCCCGCCAGGCCATGATTTCCATTTGCTCCGACCAGGACCAATCTAGCAAAGCTGCCGCTGCCGCAGCGACCGACGAGACTGCTAAGCACATCTACGCCATAGAGGTGGACTCTCCCTTTTACCAGCTCTCGAAGGAATCCGTCGCGCTGGTGGCCGAGGCGTTGGGCGGCGGCGGCGGCAGCGGTGGTAGCGGCGGCGGCGGTGTTGGTGGCGGAAACAACGGGGGCATGACCGCTCGAAACACTGCCCGGAGTGGCATGAGCGGCCTTGCTAACGGAAACGGCTCCGGAGGTGCCGGCAACAACAAGCGCCGAGACATACCAAAGAAACCCGAGCTTCTGTCGCCGGGAGGGGGGCGCAGCAGCGCCACCGGTGGCGATCTTTTTAACGAGGCGGCGGCAGCGGCGACGGGCGGGGGACCGCCACCGCCGCTCCCCGAAACAAACGCGGCGCTGGTGAACTTTTTCCCGCGGGCCGCGGGGACGTACCCGTGCCGGGTGCTGGTGAAGAGGAGGACCAGGCACCTCGTGGACATTCGGTGCATCGACGTCACGGCGGTGGTGGACGCCCCAAGAAACGCCACGGCGCTGGTGTTCCGCGCGCCGGCCGGGCAAAAGATAACCCAGGAGGTGCGAAACGTCAGGGGGCGTGGGCAGACTGACACTTCGCGCCTGGCGTATGCATGCGTCCCTCACTTTTGGCGGCTGGCTGAGGGACTGAGGGAGTCCGTAGTTTGGTGGTTTATGTGACGACGAAAGGATAATTATGCACGGCTGGCGCAGAGGAATGGCAAACTTTGTTGGCGATAGGAGGGAACCGTAAACGAAGCAGTGCGAGAGCGAATGATCGGGAAAAAGATAGGAAACACGCGTTACAAGGTTCAAGAACCGTGTCTTGGTGTGACCACTGGCGCGGGGGGGGGGGAGAGACGAGGAAATGCGCGTGTAGCGAACTGTCACAGAATTATCATCTCGCAGGTTGACTCAGTCTAGATGGGGAGGAGAAGAGGGAGTAGCTCTACAAGACCGTTCGCGTTACATGGTGAGGAGCTTTGTTGGTTTTGTGTGTTCCTTCTGACTGCCGCCGGGGAGACAGGCTGGTCGAGCCCCGAAGCATACACGTTGTTCGTCAGATGGGCTGACCCACTAGACCACCCGGTCAGGCTCTACAACAACTGCTTGCATTTAATCACACGAGAAGTTATCGTCTTGTCCCGTCATTCGTCTTCTTCAAGGGGTTTGCATAGCGTGTACTACCCTCTCCCACAACAACTTTCTCCCTATCTTTCCCCGAAACAGATTCCGATCCACAACAATGGGGACGTGGCCTGGACGCTCAACGCCGGTCCTCGGCAGCCTCCCTTTGGCGGGCCGAATCAGCTCACCGTGCCCGCGCGCGGGAAGGTACGCCAACAACCCTGTTTCGTTTCTGAATTCCATGGTGTGTTGTCTTCGCTATGTCACCGCCCCCTTGCAATACACTGACTGTACTTGGTCTTGTGCGTGTGGTCGGTTTTGCAAGGCTCGCGGATGATATAACGATCATTATATCCAGCCTATCCTGCTGTAGGCATTTTCTCTGTGCTCACCAGAAGAGTATAGAGTGGTAGGATCTTGAAGGAGGCCAGGTTGGCTCGTTTTATTTCCCATGTAAACGCGGGTGTTCCCGAATATGTATTTCCATGGACGCGCGCGGGCTGAGAACGGCATGTGTTACATGTAGCTGCAGTCATCACCCAATATGTATCCGTTGCATCGTGACTACGGTGAAACCAACAACAACACCAGCACCAGCACCAACACCAACACCAAACTCTCACCCGTCCGTGTTTGCTCCTCCACCGATATCAACCAGGCTTCTTACCCTCTGACATTCAGCCCTGTGCGGGCAACAGACCAAGACTTTGTGTCCAAGCTGGTGCTGGCAGATCTCAAGGACAAAGGCAAGCCTGTCAAGTTCGACTTTGATCTCAGGGGTACCGCGGAGGAGCCCCTGGCGGAGGGCCACCGAGTGGTGAGGTGCTCCGCGAGGGAGAGAGTGGAGCAGGTTTTCCAGCTGAAAAATGTCACAGGAAAAGGTGAGGAAGGGAAATTATCCTGTTTGTATTGCTCGTCTAAGATAAAGAGGTCAAAATCGGCTTCCGAAAGGTGGCTGGACACGGCGAGGGAAAAAAATGTGTTTCTACGTTTCGTCTGTGGAATATATTTACATTTTAGGAGAAGAGGAGAGAGATGAAGAGAAAATCCGGGTGCTCGTCTCAGTACTCCGAGAGAAGGATGCGCGTTCGGGTATTTAATTGGTGGAGACTTAACAACAAGTATTGGGGAGCGACCACACCGTCACTTGGAAGCCTTCGTCGTGCGCTCCTACGGTATTTGTTTCCCACAAACGTGACGAAATTGGACATTGATGCCTGGCACACACGAAGAACCCGTTCGCAGAAAAACGAACGAACGCAATTGTACTATGGCCATGTGCGGTGAAGGTTCCGACAAGATTCAAGATTGTGAAGCATGCGTCGAAAACCTGTCTGAAGTAACATATAATGTCTGTGGGAGTTCTCAGTCCATATCCTTATGAAGCGGCTTGGTTCCGCCGAGGTACACAAGAACAGATACCTCAGCCAACTGGAACCCATCGACAACCATCTTCCCGGAACCTTCCTCCTCAAGTGGGCAAACCGTCAGCCCCCTCTGTCGTCCCCGAATCCTAAACGACCGTTGTTCTCAAAAGACATGGAGTTTGCGGTCGACAGCGACCTCCCCGGTGTTAGCGGCAGCCCAGGACTGACAGTGCCGGCCAAGCAGGAGGAGGAGTACTCGCTGTCCATTTGCCCCCCCTTCGGAGGCGTTTTCACGGGATCGCTCACGTTCACGGCGCCCGGCGGGATCGTTGTTTGGTACACGGTTGAGGTGACCACGAACAAAACAGTGCCCTCGCATAGTACTTAGCTGATCATAGTGCAATGACGGGCTGGTGGTTGGAGTACAACATCAACAACCGGATATGTCGGGTATGTGTGTTATTATGCCGTATGCCTTCGTCATAATACCGTAGGCTCACTGTCATCTCTTGTGGTTGACGAACAATCGTCATCTCAAAAATTGAACACGGACGACGATCCTAAACCCGCCATTTCGGTATCGTGTACTATGAGTCAATATTGCTGAGAAAAGAAAAATTGGCTCCAACTTGTCAATCAATCGCTTTTGACGCTATTTGCGCGAAATCACGCGGACAAGTTTCCTCCGCAGCGACCGCACCTTCCTTCCCATCCCGTGTTCTCAACGGATCGCCCGCTCATGGTTTCACCTCTCCTCCGACGTGAATAGGTCCAAGCGTCTAATCCCATGGAAGAGGACAAAGTGGCCATCAGCACCGTACTAAGGCAGGCGGTTAGCGTCGAGATTTCCTTGTCCAACCCCCTGAATGAGGAGCTGCAGTTCATGGTTTCCCTTCAGGCAAGAGAAACGGATGGGACCCCACACCAGCCACAGCTTCGTTTCCGGACACATCAGGACTCTCTGTTGCTACGCATGCAGATCGTTCAAATCAGAGACACGGGCTGTACGGCGCTTCTCGTCGATTTTTTTAAAATCAAAGCGTCTCGAACGAGCACCAATGCAAACAAGAAGTCGATTTCGCCTGTTGCTTCCGGCACGAACAGAGGGTAACAGAACTATTGTGTACTACCATCCCACCGAGACAGGCGGATGACTGTGTGTGAGAACAGATAGTAAGAAACAACGAGGAGATGAGCTCCCCCTGCATGGTCGACTTACCCAGGCGGACGACAAATGAGAACCATTCCCCAAAACCCCACTCCTCATCGCGCGCATATCTTCCCGAAAAGGGTGAGGGCCTCCTGGGAGATGCCACCTTCACCCTCGACCCCCTCGCAAGCGCCACCTACACGCTCTACTACTCCCCCTTGCGGGTCCAATCTCACTCCGGAAGCGTTACCTTTTCCGCGGAGGCAGTTGGGCAGTTCTGGTATCGCCTGGAGCTGCGCGCGGACCCTTGCCCCCCAGTCAGGTGTGTGTCGACGCGAACCTGCAGTAGTCTCATTCCTAGTTATCATCAACCCATGTTTTCTTGGCAGCCCGGTTGTTGGAACTCCTAACGTGTCGCTTTGACGTCGAGAGCGTCTCGATTCTCTTTGTACGGGCGTTTTGATGCCCTCTTTACATCGATCTGTTCATGTTACCGGCTTCCAGGGTTAGTATCACTGGTCAGCTCGGGGCTTGCTCGTTTGGCACCCCGTAGTTCGCTCTTTTGGTTTGTTGGTGCTTGGTTTTGGAGTGACGGGAGGCACGTTTTATATATTGTCCCCTGACTTATGTAAGGTATGGCAACCACACTGAGAGGGAACCCTAACCCTGTACATGTACAACGTGTTCGAGATGCCGTGTTTCTGCGTGAAGCAACACGGCGAGGATATGGTTGACCCTGAGTCATCTCATGCGCACGGTATATCTTAGTATCAATAACGATAAGCTGTAGCGTAACAGTACTTGCCGCCAACTAAGGCTTTCCGGGAAAACAAACATACAGCAGATCCTTACAATGCCTGATTGACTGCCTTCCCACGGTATCCTGGTTCCGCCGATTGGTGGTGGGCTATCTCCTAGTCCGTTTTTTTGTCTTCTTCGTTTGCAGAAAATGACAAAGGGCGTGGCATGACTGGCCGTGGGACGACGGGGGTTGCGTCTTAGAGAGCGCAGCCATAATTAATCAGGCCATCCCACTTCTTGCATTTCGCTCGCTCTTTGGTTGTGGCCGCCGCCGCGTTTTTGTCACACGTTTCCAACAAACAAGGTTGGACGAGATTTCGTGCCCGGTGGGTGCTAGCCGCGGCGTTTTCGTGAGCATCGACAACCCCGTCGGCAGAGACATCGTGCTGGCCGCCAAGGTGATTGATTCACTCACAGGTTGTGTGTGATGTGATGTTGGTGATTGGCTGTTTCGGGGTCCTGTTTGGTTTGACAAGTCTTGAAAGATGGCTCGCTTTGAGGCTTCTTTACCATCGGGGAGTCGTGCATGGCCTGACCGATCTGTGTTGGCATGGACTACACGTCGAAACTTTCGCTTTCCTTTCCAGGAGCTGATGAGGTTGGACAAAATATTCGCGACCCCAGGTGGCACAGAATCAATGACACAATCAACCACGACGCTCATGTTGGTCCTTTAAAAGTCTTTGGATTTGTTCACAATCTTAGAATGAAGTATGCAATATGGTGCCTCGAAAAGTGCGGAGAGATGTTTGGTGATCCTCGTCGAAGCGCCCCCTTCTTTCATCCCACAAAGAACAACGTCAACCCACGTTACTGCTGTGGTAATGCAACTTATACGGTTACCGCACGATGCGAGTAGACTTTCGATTCCCTGCTGTCCTTTTCAAAGAGTTTTTTTCTCACACTCACATAATCAGAAATACTCGGGAAGACACGCGACTGTCAGCAGGAAGTAAACTGTACTCGAGTTGCAGGGTTTTTTCCGTCGAAAAACGAAAAGTGGAGAAGTGAGCCAAACACCAACAACCTGACCCCCGCGCCGGTTCATGTGTTTTCTTGCGCAATCTTCGCTTGCACGTGCGTGCGCTTAACAGACTTCGAACAATCGGAACTTTTCGGTCGAGCCCCCGCAAATCGCTATTGCCCCCTATGGAACGGCTTCATTTGAGGTAAAAGAAACTTCGTAGGCACTTCCAGGGTGTGTAGGGACTTGGGGTAGTTCTAACGATTGCACCTCAAAAAGTAGCAATGATGAATGGTTCATCGATTTAGCAGCAGACAACGATCCAGCGAAGTAGACTAGGGTGTCGGCTGATCTTCGAACCTTTCCGTGAGAATTGAGACGGCCAGCATCCCCAACTAGCGGGCCGAGCAAACTAGCTGAAACCATCGTCAGGTGCTTGTCGAGCTCTCTCTTCCTCCCTCCCTCCCTCTCGGTCAATGGTGAGATATGGTTCGCTCTGAAAATATGTTGGGCCAATGGTTGGATGACAAAGACAACAGGTAGGCTCCCCCTGTCTCCTCCCCTGCTCCTCTGCTCAAAGGTGGTGTACACCCCTTCGTCTCTCGGAACATTTGAGACCGGCGATGTTATTCTGGCCCACGCGGACCTGGGAGACTGGGTGTTCCAAGCTACGGGCGTCGGCGAGATGCCCGGGGTCATGGAGGAACACCGCACGGTTGCTACGGTCGGGACCACCACGAGCACAATGTTCCCATTCAGGTTGGTGACCCGTGGCCTAATTCTGTGTGTTGTAGTTTTACATAAATGCACGAATCAGTATACTTTCAAGTGGAGCAAGAATAGGAGCGCTACGACCCCCCCTTGTTTGTCTGCCTCTCTGCACAGCGTTGAACTTCGTAGCCTTTTTTAAAGAGGGGGGGGGTCAACGGGTACTCTTTGGGTTACAGCGCTACCACGATATTCGACGAAGGTTGAAGGGCCAGCATGAAGGGTTATTGAGATAATATGCTATTAATAGTGAAAGACTGACAAGAGCGCCCTCTACCTCTTCCCCGGTCTGACTCCTTCACAAACCAATTAATAATAACAACAACAATCCAGAAATCCATTCCCGGAGCCAATACTGCTGACGGTGGTGCTCAAGCTATCCGGAGAGCAGCTACCTGGCCAGATTGCTGAGGAAGGGGAGGATTCTGGCGGCGTTGGGACCAGCGGGGCAACAGACGACGACGACAGCAGCAGAGGCGCAGGAAAGGAGAGCGACCGCAGCGGTAGCAGCGATGGTGGTCGCCGGGGGGTTAAGGGGGGGTCGCGGGCAGGGGGCCGAGTCCCGTTCGTGCTGTTGCTCAAGAGGGCGATGGATCTCGTGCTTCAGCCCTTCCAGGCGCTACAGGTGAGTTTAGGTTGACTAACATTCCCTCGTATTGACGTTGTATCACATGCCTAGCGCTCGGAAATGACATGAGCAGGCGTGGCATGTCTTATCTCGTACCAGTATTTGGGCACTGTAAGTTTGGTTGATGGTACAACGTTCGGCTGATGTAAAGGTATTGCTTCTACTTACGGGTGAGCCAAGACATTTGACCTTGCAATGGTAAAATGTTCTGTAGCACGTGCCTGATCTATGTTTCCGGCCCTCGAATAAAAGCTCACACACCTTTCTTCTAACAACACATTTGTTTCGACTCTCCTTACATATAGACGGCATGGTGGAGATATCCCAAGGTCGAGGTAGCTTTGGCCCGCTTCTGAGAGCATGCACGTTTTTATCCGTTGACGTGTTGGAAATGAGAGAGGGTTCACAACGACAGTTCGCAGAGCGGTCGGTGCGAATGGGGGTTCTCCCGCTCATGTCAGCAAGTGGCATATTGAAGACCATTGCGCTCCCGAAGTTGACCTGTCTTGGGTTGCTTCGAAGGATTGGTCTTCCTACACTTTTAGTGTGTACGCATGGATCCTACGCTTCCAAGATACCTCGCATCCACATATATAGTTGAACCTGTTTGTTTCAATTTCCGCCCATCTTCGTGTAGAGCTCCTGTCTCTTGGGGGGCGGGGGGAGGGAGAAGGTCCTCCGCAAATCAATAGAATGATATGATATCCGGAATAACCGATAATCATCTTGTATGCAAGGCGTTCTCTTGTACCGTTTGGGTGGTGTTTCCCTCCCGAAACTCATGAAAAGAAGAGAATAACGTGTGGCGGATTCTGCTCTTCCAGATTCCTCTGAGCTTCTCGCCGGAGGTGATCGTAGAGGAGAGGGCGTGCGTGGAAATACGAGGCCAGCTCGGGGGGCGATCGCTGACATGGGTTTTCCCGGTCGTGGGGGGCGGCGAAGCCCCGGGTGGGTTGAAGGTGTTCTCCATCTCCTGCCCGGCAAAATCGAGCACGCGAGAAGACTTTGAGGTAACTCTTTGCGGACAGGGTTATTAATATCTTGCTGAGTAGATACCTGGACAGGTCTCCGGTGCAAACGGTGGTTGCCTTGCCAAGTTCGTCGTTGTTGTATTGGGCGTGGAAGTTGGATACTGAAAAAATAGTGCTTGGTGCTACTTCGACAACGTATTTCGCTGCCATTCGAACCTCAGAGAGATAATCAACACTTTCAAGTCTGCCGAACGTTGTCTTACCCACGCCAAGCTGATACCCGCCCCCTCAGAGCCTAGTATACCTGAATTGTGACCGTGTTCTTCGCTTCTCTGTCAAATTATACCTCCGGAATACCACCCTCGACATTCAACAGCAACCTTCAAACTGATTGGAAAGACAGACGAAGGACGCCAAACTTTGCAGCGTGTTCCGGTCGCCATTTTCGGACTTGCAACTACCGGCCGTCATGCCTCACCTCACCCCCCCCTCTCTCTCCAAGGTCGAGCTTGTGGGGCTGGCCGGAGTACAGGAGGACGAGGAGTTCCAGTTCGAGGTGGCGTTACCGGAGGATGCCACGTTGAAAAGGCAAGCAAGACGAGGAAATACGTTTTGTCACACCTAACACGGTGCGAAGGTTGTTTTTTGTTGACCAAGCGTCAGAGTCCCACGTATCACGTACGGCGAGGGCCAGGCTAATTTTGCTGCGCTGTGGTTCGGTTTGTACGCAGCCAGGATGCAGAGCACATGACGATTCGAGACGTACTTTTCCTGCATGGCGTCTCGCAGTAGTCTCGCTCTAATCGCCGTACCGCCACCATTGCTGCTGCGTTGCTTGTGTTCCAGGATGTTGGATAGGGCCCTGAGCGTAGTACCCGTCACGACAAAGCTTTCGGACCCTCGGCAACCTCTCAAGTTTCAGGTGCGATAAAAGGGGGGTTGCCCTGTAAATAAAATCGAACGCTGATGCAGTCAAACGAACAAGTGCGGAAATACCGAATCCCTCGGGCAACTTTTAATAGTTAAGGACGAGCTGGACGCCGATACCATATGGTGCACCAAGTTTTGTCGGGTGTGTTTGATGAACGTTAATCTAGACACCTACCAGATTCGACATAACGAGCAAACGCCGTGAATCCTTCAGAAGTTCCGCAAAGTGTCGAATACTGTACCGAATTTTGCAGATGCTCCCAACATGACGTCCTTGCAGGCGGCAATAACACCGTGATTCAACTGGCATCCCTCGCGGTCCACCGTATTCATTCTGCTTTACCTAAGCCATGGCGGTGGCCCCATCGACCATTTGCGAGCCCTTCTTCGCTACTGTTCCTTGCAAGGGCTCAGCTACCGGCACTAAAAGATACTGTATTTACGGTTGTGGAGCGTTTCTCCAGGATGCGAATCCTATGAAACCCCACGTTCGCCGTGAAGGTTACCTTCCAACAAGATGCACGCGAGCGCGGGCGGCTAAACATCGTAACATGCTTTCCCTGTGTTACACCCCTGAGGACGTCTCGTGCTGACTCTGAGCCTATGTTAACGTCAAACGAGCATTCAAAAGCCCTACGCCGGAGAAAATGAACCACTCGCCCAAGAGACAATCGACAGATTGACGCTTGCACGTCGAAGCCACGGTTTTGGCATCGATGTCACCGCCGCGAAAATGACTATTCTCTCCCGCTGCGTGTCCTTCCGAAACCGTGACACTTCGCACAGGTGTCTCTCGAGCCCCTGAAACCTTTCCGCACAATTGTGGAGGTCATCGTCAAGCGCAAGACAGGCGGCGGCCGGTGGCGCTACGAGGTGAAGGTGGAAGCCACCGACGCTCCTCCAGACGACACCATCTCTCTCAGGGCCTCAGTCGGCGGGGTCTCGTCTGCTGTGTTTAGGCTCTGCAACCGCTACCTGGGATACGCCCCCTTCCAGGTGAGCGAAGTTCGTGTCACCACCGCCAGCTCGTATATATAATGAGCGTGCTTGGAGGCGCAGATAATTCTTTGTCATCTGGTTTTGCTTCATTTTACATACGCTACCATCACCTAGAATCACTTACTCAATGCCGAACAATCTCCTTCTCGTGAAGGTGACGTCGATGTGGGGTCATGCGTTCAAACAGGTTCCATGCCTCTCTCCCGGTTCCCAACCCACGACTGTGGTGTTTGCTGTGGCACAACTGTAGTAGTCGTCTTGGTTCTGCCAAAATGCTACAGTTAGGTGCACGGAGCGCATATGAGTAAAACACACCTATCGATTTCTACGGGCGAGACATCAAGAACCGGCGGAATCAGGTTAGGAAAGACCGCATGTCTCTTCGTCCGATCAATAGAGGATGACCCAACAACACCACGTTGGCTTGGATCTGTTCGTTCTCGCATATGTGCTCGACGTTTAGGCGTTCTTCACGGCAGACAGCGCTCTTAGCCTGTCCGTTGAGCCCACCGATGGCGTCCTCACGCCGTTCGGCACGGACGGAACCCCCGTGACCGTAACATACGCCCCCACACAGTATGCGCCCAACCAGAAGGGCCGCCTCATTGTCGAGACGGAGGATATAAGGTGGGCAAAGGACACGGTGGCGAGACGTGACTAGGGAGAGGGAAACAAGTTTCAATCTCGGGTAGACTACCGTAACATATGCCTGCGTTCTACCGTGCTTTCACCCACCTGCCGTCTGTGCAAGGGGAAAGAAAATGCTCGTAGCCCTTGTTCTTAGCCATAGCAAAACATCGTACCCCAAAAGAGTAGACTACAAAAAATAACACCAAGAAAGGAAGGCAGGAATTCCCACTCCAACGATAAATCAGAGTAGTTCTTGTAGTTGCATCAACCTCCTAGGAAAGCAAGCAGCGATTCGAGAAAGGAACAACTATGACAAAAGCTAGCCGATTCGACAACGACACATATCAACATCCCGGTGTCATTCGAAACAGCCCTATGGGCCCCGCCTCGCCAAGCGTTCTCCTCAACTTTTTGCTTTCTCATTCGAACCAGATGGAGCTACGCGGTCACCGGAGACTTCCCAGGGTTTAGACCCCCAAGTGGCATATCTTCTAAGGTGGACTCAGGGTCACACGCCGGGTCTCGAAAAAAGCTCACCGGCAGCACAAGAGCAGGCGGTGGTTGGGGAAAGTCTCGTTCCGCTGCGGTTCGTACGCCAGGCGGGGAGAGTGCAGCAACAGGGAGTTCTTGGAATGGCGGTGGCGTTGGCGATGGCGTTGAGATGGACGGTATAGTGGGCAATGGTTCTGGTGTCTTCAACAGAGACCGGGGTGGGGAAGCGTTGTCTAGGCTCCAATCCCCCGCAGCAGGTTCAGAGTTTTTTTGAGGCAGGGGAGGGGGGGGGGCGACTATACGGGGCGGTGGAAGAGACGCCCTAAAGTATTGCAGCGATTGCTATTAGTACACGTGGCACGCCGTGTGGCGTCGCTGGATGTATGCATATTTATTTTAAGGTGGAAGTATTGCCGGGGTAACGTGGATTTGTGCGGATGGCAAAACGTGTGAAACGAATTGTTTCATCCCATTGTAACCCCAACTGCACCCACGAAGACTCCAGCTAGAGCTCTTCGAGAATCGGGCGACTTGTGTATCAACGACTCTCGATACCCAAGATGCCACTCGGTTGCATTTCCAAAACAACTTGTTCAGGGCGGAGAGATCGTTCGATATATTTCGGAGGAGTCCGAGTAGCGCGGTTTATGCCCTACTCTTTACGCCGTTCGCGTTCGCGGTTATTTTCGCTCGATGTACGTGTCTTTTGTTCTGAAGAGGGAGCAAACACATCTACTCCAACAGGCATCAGAAGTAGCTTCCCTCCGCGAAAGCGATGGAGGAGACGAAGATCAGCGCTGACCAAAACGTTGTCAGCAGAAAGAGGCCGTCTAATAACGCCACATTTCCACGGAGCGCCCACGTGCGAGCGTGGTATCTGGGGGTTCTTTTAGATCAAGATGTTAACTTTGACCCTTCACCGCTCGAAACAGGCACCCCCGCCTCACTTTTCTTCTTCGCGGCGTCAACGACAAAAGTCCTTCCAACCCGACCCCATTGTCGCGGGATCGAGGGTCGACCTTTGAGGCCGGAAAGCCAGCAACCACGGCCAACAACGTTGTTTTCGCGACGCTGTTGATACCGCTCACGAAGCCGAGCAAACCGTTCTGAAAGTAACCACTCGTACAAACGTGTATCCCTACAAATGTTCGAGTGTTCCCGCGTACACCAAGGGCCACAGCAGCAAGGCCGCATCAGCGCAAAAGCACTATGAGACCGGACCCCGCACCCCGTACCATGCAAGCTCAACCACACTGCGTAGCTGCTCGATCATACTCCACTTCGTATTGCCAAAATTATGCTTTGACGCTGGCTCACTTTATTCTCGACAAATGAAAACAAGACGCAGACAAAGGTCGAACATATTATAGGCATGCGGACGTGAACCGCGCTCACGTTTAAAAATCTCTCAATCTCCAAACAATATTTCGTCTCATTCGTATCTCTCTCTCTCGGTCAATCTCCAAGGTCTTGTCGCAGTGTTAGCACATCGTGACTGCTCTCAAGCCAAGGGGGTAGCGACTGCTGAACCGTCCTCACGTTCAACACTGAAGATAAACACCGCAAGAAAATGAGATAACGGAGGGGGCATGCAGGAGACTCATCTCTGTCTACACTAACGCCCCCCTCTCCGTTCCCCCCCCAGCCCAATCCTTGATTCGAAGGAAGACCGAGACGAAAAAGAGCAAGAGGAAACTGAGCATGTATACCGTGCCAAAAGTCTGCCGTGCCTAGTATCGTACCAACATTCTGCATGAGCTAATCGATGTGCCTTCTGTGCCTCATTTCGGGTCGACGAAAACGTCACCGCCGCGCTCGCTAACGATCAAGCCATTTCGCTTCATTTCCTCCAGCTCACTGACGAGCACCAGCTCGAACTTTCCCGTGTCCTTGTGCTTGACTGGAACATATCTTCGTTTTTTTCAGTAGGGATTCACGTTGAAGGCACCGGCGTACAAATTGAAAATCGACCGGAGCGACCGCCGCGATTGTTTCGCCGCCGAATCGGGAGCAGAAAGAACGAACCAAAACGACGGCGGTATGTCGGTTGCATGCGAAAGGACAATAGGCAGCACAACGATCGCGTGGGGTAAAAATCCTTTTCGACGGCGGAGTGAAAGCGAGCGAACGCGGGGGTTTGTCATGACAAGTCGTAAACAGCAGTACTCATCGGAAGTGTGGTGACGTGTTACCTGCTGAATGGGCCGAACTCTCCAGACTGCCCGTTGACGAAAGTTTTAGTTGCGATTTCTTCGTCGTTCTTGGTCTTGTTCTCCACTGTTCTGAGTAATCGGGAGGATACCCGGCGGCAGCGCGACACACACAAGGGCATCAAGGTATAGGCTCGACACCCACAGGGACGACACTAAAACACAGGTGTTGGCCCTCCACCTTGCTGCTTGATCGAACGAAAATGCAAGTGAAGCTCATGTCACCGTAGGCCAAACGGGGCCTATATTCTGTTTCTCGAGCAACAAGCTACATCTGTGTGTCGCTTGGACGGTAACAAGGAATCTAGAGAAATTATCGGAACTTGGGGTATTCACCCCAAGGTAACGACCGACACAACAGAGCCTTCACAAGGCACCAATGCATTCGCGCTCACTGGCTAGCGTAAGCCGGCGCCATCAGGACGGGTCGGGGGCATCAGGACGGGTCGTCGAAGCACAACAAAGGGGCCGCTCGTCTGCTGGGGCGTGCCTTAGATTCGAGGGCTCCGTAGGATGACACTTTCGGTGCACCCACCTTCTCTTTAGTGTCGCCATCAACTCGCTCTCCGGCTCTTCCTTTACCGGAGCTTTTGTCGAAACGCTAGCCACCTGGGTATTACGGATGTATCCAAATTAGTGTTTCTTCGTTGGAAAAATAGGGTGGGGGACACGGCTGGGGAATCCGTGCAAAGTCCCGTTTATCTCCGGCATCAAACAGATCCCACCGACTGAATCACCAACCAACGGGTGGAGCGAAGCACCTTGATATCAGCGGCATTTGCAATTTTTCAAAAGCAGCGACTCTCGTGTTCCTCCTCCTGCTCCCCTCCCCCTGTACCCACCCACCTCCTCCGTAGTATCGCCAACTCCGAACTTGATACAGGCTCCGTTTAGGCCCCTCTGAAGGCAAACCTGCATAAATCGCACACGCCCGCGCGAGACAGAGATAGTCAACGACAAGAGAGGGAGGGAGGGAGGGGGAGAGAGAGGAAGATATATATATATATATAAATAGAGAGAGAATATTCGTCAACAATTGCATAGCTTTCAGCGCAGTAGTCAAGAACGCAACCTGCACGAACGGCCCAGGAATTAGAGCAGGTGTGTATGTCGCTGGAAATTCCAAAAACCAAGAGAAACGTACGCGTAGTGCTGACTCAAGAAGGGGGAAAACTTGATGGTAAGTCTCGCCGCCACATGCATTCGCTTATCAAACAGCCACTATTCTGAAACCATGAGGTGAGATGCGGTACAGTGCTTGGGGCGCCGCGGTTGACCTCTCCATAGGCCTCCTTTCCGGGACTAGAAGAGCAACAACTTAGAGTTGCCTGTGGTTTCGCTTGCAGCCAACTTCTGCTCAGCAGCAGTCCATTGGGTTCCAGCCGAGGGCCGTGCATCACGCGATTGTACATGTCAGCACAAGCGCACGTTTCTAAAGATCTAGACGAGATGAGACCGACCAACAACGCTATTACATTGTCCCTGCACATCGAGAACATCAATCGCTACAATTCGAGAGTGAACTGGTTCCCTGGAAATTCGTGGACAGATGTGAGACTGACTCTTCTTGACTCTTGAGGCTTTGTGCGTATGGTTTAAGATGTGCATGCAACAGGATGCTAACCTCATCTTTCTTGAACTTTTCCAGCGGTGGATCAGCCAGGGTCGCGAGCGGTAGCGCAAGAGCAGTCACACCCCCGATCAATCCACTGATGATTTTTTGTCGCGACTCTGGCCCCCCGCCTAGCTGTTCCTTCGGACTGATTGCGCAAGGAACACAGCAGCAGCAGTCAGCCAACGCAAACTTAAATTTTGGCGTGCTACAGATCTTTCGCTCTGCTGTGCCCGAAAGCAACTTTGTTGGTATCTACTTGCGCTATGTAACGATATCTGGGCCGTCGTCTAGGCAGTGTTTGTTGCATTTTCCCTTTGAGTATCCTTTTGGGTATCCAGCAACTTAAGCGCGGGTAGTGGACAGCACCGTCATATCTGACATGCGCGAACAAGGCGACGCTACAAGTAAACCTCACAATCCTGCGGTACACCAGATCGTGTGTGACGCCTAATACCACCCCCGTCACGAACTTGAATGTCAGTCGGGACGGGAAAACGCGTGTACGTCTGACGATTTCTTTAGAGCCCGCTATCGTTTGTGTAGTTGTGATACAGAGTACCGCCATGAGAAAAGATCAGCACCAGTAGACTGCAGGAGTCGCTGTGAAGCAAGCGAGCGAAGACAATATCACGGGGGGTGATATCTTACAAAATAGCAGTGTATTGCGCATGATTTACGTTTCAGGTTCCAGCAGCAGTAATATTACATAGTCCAGCTACATCAGAGAGGGCTATATACTTGCAACCTATGCATGGGACAAGGTTGATATTCATGACTCACGTTCGTGGCGACCCAGAGCTCATTCGGAGATTGCATCTACACGAGCCGGTCGTCGTAAAGCCGGTAACGGGCGTGACATGATGCAGCAGTAGCAGCAGGGACGCCAGCATCAACCGCGTCATGTTTCCGTTCAAAATATATCTACTACAAATGCAAACAAGGCCGTGTCTCCACAGCTTGATCTTCTCCTAGCTGCAGCGCGTGGTGGGAAAGGAAGCAGAACACAGCAGAACAGAGCAAGAGAGGTGGGTGAAGCGTCGCCTGCGGCAGCACACCGTGTGATCTGGAGGCTCCGCGGAATATCTTGGACGACGAGCCCTCCCCCTCGTCAGAGTTTTGAAATTTGGCACAACCACGCAGCCATCATCTGAGAGCTGTGGCAGTGTTGGTGTTGAGTGCAGAAGAAGCAGGGTCTGTGCGTGTTCTGGTGCGGGAAGCGAACGGAGGGAAACAAGGGATCGAGTGAAACCTAACGGTGAAAACACGTCGCAGGCATACAGTGTAAACACCCGCTGTCGGCGCGGCTTCAGGTGGACGCGGGTCGGTGGACGACGCGACAAATCTGGGGACCACCAACACCCAAGGAGGGCACGTGTAATAACACATAAGAGAGAGGGAGCAGGACACACACGTGATGAGCGCGTCTCAGGAAGAGTCACAGGGGATGACCACCGCTGCGGAGGAGAGCCAAGACACCCCTGGGGACTCCTTCGATGATACGCAAGAGTTGAAGGAGCAGGAGGAGGAGGAGGAGGGCGGCGGCAAGAAGAAGAAAGGCAAGAAGAAGAAGGCGGAGTTGCCGATCTTCACCAAGAGGGATCCTATCGATCGTGTCCCCTTCCCATCCACGGGGACGACCTTCACCGTGCTGTCCTGGAACGTGAATGGCGTCCGAGCGACCGCCAAGAAAGGCCTGGAGCCGCTGAGGCGTATGGTGGAGAAAGAGATGCCCGATATCGTCTGTTTGCAGGTTTGGAGAGTGTAATTTTTCAGGCGATTTTCTGCGAGAGTGCGGCACGGTCGGCCGCGCATGACATGTTTCCGCACGCTCTCGGGATTGCTCCACTTTCAATTTGGTTTGATGTAAGGTGGGTGTCTCTCTCTCTGTGGGAAGTGATGATGTGAACCCATTCCAAAAGGTACTTTCCAGCATTCCATGGCTTGGCGTGAATACGATTCCCGTCGTGGAGAAAATGGGCGTCGAAAGTCGTCACAGCAGCAGTTGGGGGGGGGGGGGGGGGGGGGGG